GAATCATATCATTCCTTTGAAAATGATCAGGTGCAAGGACAGGACAAAACGTGGGTGAAAAAGCAGCTAATATCCAACAAAGATTTTGAAAAACCTTCAGAAAGCCCAAAAAACGATTGTGCAAAACCCCTTGAAAAATAATTCAATGGACGTCTCCATGGAAGCAAAATACAAAGAAATGAGAAAGAAGAAGAAAAGGGAAAGACCATCTCTCAACCAAGGATGGACGTAGGGGTACACCTATCACCATCTTACAACACTTACAACTCTCAGTGAAACGATATTCATGGCCAGTGATCGATGGTCATGACATTTAGCACCCTATTGTTAGGAAACTACCAGTTTCAGTCGTTATGCCAATGTGCTGTTTATAAGTTTGAGCAAACCTGCAGTTAGCGAAGTCTGAAGTAGTCACTCAGATGAGTGACAAAATGCAAAAAATTCAGCTAACGTTTGCTCAGATTGGTTAACTGCAGTAAACTAAGGCATTAATTTTAATCCCTCAGTCTGCACGCCGCGCTGCAGAATCCGCGTTATCTACTGAATCTGAAGGCAACGTTCGTCTCTGCTAATCCTTCTTGGTCACAGCACCCAGGCTGAATGACTTCATAGTGTAAAACCACTAATTGCCTATTTTATACCTTTCTATTTTTTTAAACGTATTTGTTTATACAACAGTGACGATACATCGCTGCAGTTAAACAAAATGCAACTGATACTAGAAGTACTATGTACTTTGCAACCTTGACCTTGGTTAGAGTTAGAAGACCTTAACAACGAAAACAATGACAGCAATAATAATAAATAATAACAGAAGTAACAGCAACGACTACAAATAAATAGAAACATTTAAGAAAAACCATTAAGAATGACAGAAAAGACATTTCAGGGATCACAGATTTGCTTTTCTTTAAGTCATAATTTTGCTTTTGCATTAAAAATGTTAAAATCAGGTAATATTTTTATTTAAAAGAAGCCTGACCAAATGTTTCTTTATGTTTTCGTAACTTACAATCCTCATTAATAGCTCCCCTTGTGTTTACTTCCTGTTTGAGTATCTCAAACAGAAAGGTCAGTTAAAAGAGAGTTTCTCACAGTTTTTTCACTACACAAGTTACTCCAGTAAAACCGGAAATAACGTTGAGTTTGGTGAGTATGAGTCAAACAGCGACGAGGCTGGCACCCCCTTCTATATCATAGTCATTTGATCCAAGTATTGATCAGTGCAGATTTATTTATCAGGATGAGGAGAACGACCTTCTCTGTCCACACACAGGTTAGATTAAAAGAGTTGCAGGTACATGAAAAAAATAAAAACCTGTGCATTTCTCCCACATCTACATTAGTATTTTGATTTTTAGCATTATTTGAAGCACATTATCCAAATCTTTTTCCCTCACTGCATGACAATTTCACAGAAGACGTACCTGTTCCTTCTCCGCTTTTATTCGCTCCAGCTCCGTCTTCAAACTGGAGAAAGACGCTGTGGGAAGAAGACATCATTAGAGGATCACACGGCGCTCATCTGAATCTCAAAGCCCGGATATTCTCTCAGGAATTATTACGAGATCCCCTGAAAGTTATGAATAATGCAACAAAGCTGCTTTGCCCGGAGCTGCTGTGTGTGTTGAGCTCAAATGAGCGCACAACTAAAAGAAACAAACAGCACAAGCATGAAACACTCCAGCTGTTAATGACTACACTGACTCACTGGCCACTGACAACAGAACCGGCACCAAAAATCATCCATCAAGTGGAAACACTGTGTTTAAACAGAGATTAACCTCCTGGTACGTTTTAAAGAGTGTGTACTTTCTTCAGTCAAAATCTCCTAGAGAGAGAAGTCTAAAGCAGCGCAATGCAAACAGTTCGGTTTTACAACTAAAACAGGACATTTAGTTTTATCAGTCATCAGAAAATGAATTAACGACGAGCTCGGTCATAATGTGTACATGAACCAGCTGTTAATTCAAACAAAATAACATGAATATTACTGGGTCTTTTGCTCTAAAGCATTAAATTAGATATAAAACATCTCCTTAACCTCTGAACGTAAGCATGACAAGGGATAAAGGATCCATTAAAACACACTGTCATATAAATGTACCGTATTTTTCGGACCATAAGGCGCACCCGATT